CCCCAAAACCCCAAAACCCCAAAACCCCATGAGTACTATATTTCAAGTTTATCGCAAAAACCCCTGATGTTTGAAATAAGCAAAAGGAATAGTATAAATTATTATATATGGAATATTAATTGAATTTAGATAAAACAAACGTCATAGATACAGATGGCCATCATCTCTATGTAAAAATTTTATCTAAAGTATAAATTCTTATGATCACCCCTAAATTCCGTCTTACTTATGTGAGATATCTTGACCCATATTGACCGCTAACTTATTATTGATAAGTTTCAATTGATCAAGGATTTTTTCAAAAATCTCTTCATTTCTTTAATTGTGGCTCTCTTGTTTTTTTTAATGACTCTCTTGTTTTTTTTAATGATCAACCAGTTATTTCACATTTTCTAAAATATTTTTGCTTATCTTTTCTTAGTTTTATAATCTTTAATCAAGCTATAACATTTTAATGGATTGTTAATTCTCGAATTCTCGGTGTTGTTCGCTAATATTTTAGAGATTAGAATTCAAAGCTATGAACTTTTAGCTCAGAGTATGTATATTAGTGCCTATTCGAACAATTTCTCTTTCTAAATAACTTAGGATTGGTTTTTCATTCTTTTTGCTATCCGAGTAAGTGGGTTGATTAATAAGATCACCCGAGCCCAAAGAGCCTTTTTCAAATTTTATTTCCAAACGATCTTAGTTTTTACTATGAGACATTTTACCTATAAAAATAATTAGTATGATTTATGCTCATCAATACGTTGCTAATCAGAGTTTGATTTTCTTTCTTCAGATATTTTTTAATATTCTTCAGCATTTATTTGAGACTCTAAGGCTGCATTTTCAATATCTTCATTAGGTCTGAGAAATACATTACTAGTGTTTATCTTTCTAATCATATCTTGAGACTAATTTTGATCATTAATCGCATTGTTGCTTGATGTGAATTTTTCTTCAGAACTTTCATAACAAATTCTGATTCTTTTCAAACCATGTATCTCTTGCTAATTCTATTGATGTGGTAGCAATTCCTCAATAATTTTCACCTATATTTGTTAAGAATCAGTCTGGCAAATTTTTGTCCGAATTTTACTTTATTTTGATACTGATTTGGACGGCACCTCTTATTTAAAGATCTTGATTTTTTGTTTGATTCTACTTTTTATTCTTCTTGTTTTTACATTAAAAGATTAAAAATAATAATATCTAATATTTCACAATGAGTTCATTAATTTGAATTGCGGGGTTTTGGGGTTTTGGGGTTTTGGGGTTTTGGGG